GCTCTCTGGAGGATCTCTATTGGGCTAAACCAGCCTCCAGCTTGAACTGGGATTATCACCAACACCAGATCAGTGAGCTTGGCTTCACTTGCTGAATGCTGGCAGCCTCCAAGGATAGAGACTTTTCAGCTTCCTCGGGCAAGTTAATTCCGATTTGTCTCGAAGTTCATTCATGAAGTCCAGAATGAAAGCAGGTTGGAATTTAACATTAGGATTTTAGTATCACAGTGATACTCTATAGGAGACGAATTTATTTCCTGTGGGAATAAAACTTCGATTTTCAGTAATTTGTGCTCATAAATCACATGGATATGGAAATATCTGCATGTTATTCTAAGCTACCTAAATGCAGTCTTCCCAAGCTGTTCGTAATTTAAGAATATTGTAGTATTTGTCAAGAATAGTACTTTAGCAATGAATCGAAATATGTTGGAACAAACTATAATTGCTGGTATTACTCTGAACAGCAAATCACAACTCTTTAAGGATGAGGTGATTATGTCCAGACTTTGTGAAGCATTTAAAGCTTCTGCCAGCATACCAAGCTATAGCATTTCCTTATTTATGTCCTAGAACTTGAGTAACAGATATTTCAGGTTTAAAGCAGAACAAAACCCACGAAATGCAGTGGACTTCTCATGAAAGGATTTGGCAGAGACCCTTCTGAGTTAATTTCACTGGTGTAGAAGGGTCCAGCTGCCTTTCTTCAAACAGTAAATGGGAAGCAGCTCTAGGTTCTTGTGAATCCTGTTTCTGTAATCATTTTGTTCCCATTGTCCATGTGCTCTGTAACCGATCACATCGCAGTCACAGAGAACAAGACTTGCTAACAATACTCTTTAAAGCAGATTTTTATTTACAGCAACATGTTTTAGGATTAAATAATTTCAAAATAAAAATAGTCTCTACATGATTACCTGTTGGGTTTTTTCCCTAAGGTTTACTATTTCCTGGTCCTGAAATGAGCAACCCTCCACAGAGCTTTTGTCCACCAGCCTGTCTGGTTGCCTGCTGCTGGCACCCATGTTTTGTTGTTTTTGGGGAGTAAAAGTGCATCCCTCTTAAGATTTCTTACCTCAACTCTCCACCAAGCCAAAACTGGGTAAGATTGCTGCTGGTTTAGATTCTTTTAGGCACTAATGGAAGTCAAAAGTATCTGACAAACTCATCAGGGATTTATTTTTGGCTGCAACTGCATCTGAATGCCCTATGTAAAAACAGAGTGAGAAGCCAAAAGCGTCAGCCCTCGGAAAGAAGGAAGTTCACCAGGTTGTAGATAGTCCTAACATTTAGGCAATGTTCACATTTATGATTGCTCTAGAGTACCTGTACAAAGTTACCTTTTTAGCTATTGAGTCTCAAAAATAACTGGCACATGTGAAAATGACTCATCTCTCAGCTTCTCAAGACCATATCGAAGGATAAAGCACAAAAGTACCACATGTTCAGCAGAGTTAGTGCTCGAGTCTGATTTAAGAGCTCTTTAAACCGTTGTTATGAAAATTGTCAGGAGTTGTAGTTGTCCTTATTTCTCCTGTTTAGATGTAGTTTTGGTTTCTGGAGACTTGGAATACACTTCATACCCTACAATTTTGAGAGATCAGCTGATTTTTCTTCATGCTTTCTCACTATTCTGTCTGTTGCTGACTGAAGCTTCCCTCCCTGCTGCTGCACCCTGTCAGTAATTAGTAGCAGCCTTAAAGGCTTCAGTCACCAAAGCTCTTAATCTACAGACACTGGCAGGCAGCACTTGTGTCTGCCCATAATCCACACAGACCTGCCAATGCATTTCACCTTCTAAAAAACAGCATCATCCTAGGCTGGGCTTCGGGTTAACTTCCCAGAAATTCATCTAAACGATATTCCAAAGTATCGCCCCAAGCAAGAAGAAGGAGGACTGTAATGATGCAGTCTAGGGTGGAAAGCTGGTGATTTTGAGTTTGTCTGCAGGTCTCTACAGAGCTCTGCATGTGAAATCCCAGGGCTTTCCAGCCCTACCAGCTTCACAGAATTTAAGGACATTTGGTGTTTGACTGGGTCAGGTGCTGAGCAAACAGGTCTTCCATACACATATAAAGTCATGGAGATCATTCTTTTGACGGTGGACAAGACACAGTGCTGTACAAATGAGAAGTTTTATTGTGATTCTGACTTTCTAGAAATAAACAACAAACAAAACAATGTTAATGATCCGCTACAAAAAACATACACTGGAAGGTTATAAGCCAAAAAACTGTGTGTGAAAATGTTTAATGAGTACAGTTGTTGATAGCAAATGCTGGCTGTACATGACATATCCTGTACTTATAGAATACATCTATATACATATTTATATAAGAATGAAAAGGCACTACAGTTTCCCAAATAAAACATAAGTAAATTAACAATGTAAATCCAAACATGGCGATTAGGGAATCTGTTTAGGCAGATGTGCTGGAAGGGAAACTTTGAAAATCACATCAGAAGTTAGTAACCAGTCTCCCACTGAAAGCCAGGGAATTCAAAAGTCCAGCTCCCATTTGTATCTTCAAATTCTCCCTTAATATCCTGGTCAGATGCTAGATATTGTATGCAGTATGAGATTAATACCTCTGTAAAGGAATGTTCAGTACTGCAGCAAACTACATACCGTTACGCTTCTTATGAAGTTGGAAACCTTACTGTAAAATCTGGCACTCCTGTTCATACTGTTGAAATAAATGGGTTCTTACAATACTGAGAATTTAAATACATTCCTGTGCAAGTAGTGCCCAAGATATCTTGGAGCTATTTTGGGGGAAAGGTGTTGTCAGAATAAGGAGTAAGGTAGGGTAGCCCAGCCTGGTGGCCAGCCTCCCATCTGCTTTTACCAGAGCAACCTTTTTACCTTTGACTGAAATGTTCATGGTTTAGGAAAACAGGTATTTTTTTTTTAATCTCTTGAAAAAAAAAACATCTGGAGAGTAATGTGACATGTAGGGAACTTGATAAAATGAAGCTAAGACAGTATGTGTATATGGAAGAAAAAAAGCTATGTAGAAATGAGTACTAAAACTATCTCTTGGGTGGGCGCATCATTTTTAGCTTCTGTGATTTTGTTGCCTTACCTATGGAGTGTAGGCTGTAACTGTAGGGTGAGCGTAGGTAATTTTGCAATTCATGATTTTAGCAGTTGTGAGAAATGCTGAGAACGTTGACGTGACATTTATTTACAAAGGAAATTAACGCAACAACCAGCAGTGTTCAAACAACTGCAATGTCTGTGTCACGGGCCTGATGGTGGAGCGACAGACACATCAGTCATTCCGGGGGGGATTCCGTGTAAGAAGATTCGCTTTCCTTTTTTGGACCCACAACTGCTTTGGTCTAATTCGCAGAGGAGCTACACCTGTAACAGACAACGGCATCTGCTGTGCGGAGAATAGTGAATTGTGTGCAAAACCGTGCGTTTAAAGTCCTGTTAATCCAAACCCTTTGTTAGCTTTGGGGAGGGGTGCAGGAGGTGCGGCAGCAGACCGACTGAATGACCGCGCTTTCTGAGACGCCTTTGATGTTCCTGCTGCTGTAAAGGCCCCTGACTCTGTTCAGCCTATTCGTGTTTTCCTGTACATGTTTTATTACTTCTGCATTTCAGATTTTGCCTTTTCCATGTGGAGCGTTTGTGCTGACTGGCTGCTCTGCAGAAACTGTAGTGGAGGGTTGGGAGTTAAGTCACTGCTGAGTGCCCCCAGCTCCAGCTGTGGCTCCTTGCTCCTGCCCTGGAAGGTGCCAAGCCTGCTCCAAGGACACGGTGGGCCCCGGGGTGCCAGAGGGAGGGGATGGATGCAGCATGAAAGTAGAGTTTCTTGGTTGCACCTGGGTCTGGAAAGGAGCTACTGTCTCATGCTAGAAGCTCCTCTGTATTCATTCAAAAGTTTTTGGCATTGTATTTTTAGCCACTCGAATACAAAGTCCTTCCTACTGCTTTGTCAGCTGTTGAGCACCTTCCTATTATGCTTTTACTACAACCAGAGGAGCTGGGCTTTCCCTGGAAGCAGAGCACAGTTACTGGTGGCTTTGTAGGCTGCAACAGGTTCTCAAGCTGAGCAGACCAGCAGTGCCCAGGCAAGCTCAGAGAAAAGAGGCTTCTCCTGGAGGAGTTTGCTCTTTCTGCAGACACCCAATTGTCTTCACTGGATCACTTTGTAGAGAAACCTGTTACCTCTCCCATGAAACTCCAGTGCAAAACTCCCACTGACCCAAATAAGCAGGTCCAAGGAGAGTTCCAGTGTTTCCAGAGGATTTGGTTAGCATTGCAAAAGTCTGGCTTTTGGTTGTTCCTTAGTGAATGTAAGTTGCAAGCCGTATTTAAAAAGAAAAAAATAGAACAGCTTGGAAAGATGTCTTTGTTTTACATATGATCAAGACAAAGCACAAGTCTGAAAGTATTCCCAGGTGGACGTGTCAGTGCAGAACCGCTAGGGCAGCATGCATTAAGCGGTGAAAGCAAGCTCAGGCTGTCAATAATGTTGCCAAAGTGTTTCCCGGCACTCGATATTTTCTGTTTGTAATGACTGTTTCTGACCTCATCCTGCAAACACATGAGTGTTTGCATATTGTTGTATTTATTGATACTGAACATGTTATTGGTACTGAACGTGTCCTCGTTTGAGAGATGTATGTGTGCACTCAGGTGCTTAGAGTATTAGGATTTCAGGGGCACAACATGGAGGATGCACCATATACAAGCAACTGGCAATTATAGTCACTTGTTAAAATAGTTTACAGTGGCCTGTGAGGCACAAGAAGGAACATAGCACATCTTTAAATAAGTATAAAATTTTAGATTGTATATCCTCTGTTTTACTGAGACGTGAAACTTGCACAATTATTTATGCCACAGATGAGTTGCGTCTAATCCTGGAAAAAAAAATCAATCTTCCTTCCAATTAAAACAATTCTCCATTTTCTTTCTGTTGGCCTATGAGACTGTACTTTTGTTTAGTGTCACGATGCTCTGTGACTACAGAAGTTAATCGTATTTATGAAAAAATTGACCAGTATATCAAATTAAATAGAATGTACGCGCCAGGGAATATTATCCTGGAGTACTTGTCGATGGCATGAGTGTCGATCCGCATGCTAACGTATCTCTGGTTTTTCCTCCTGCCAGAGGCCCTCTCTGACCCCAGCGCCAGCTGCACCATCATTCGGTCCTGTTTGTCCCCATTCTCGGACATGTAGTGCCCCAGTTCATTCACGTCCCCGTCGTTGTATGTGCCGTCCACCATCATGGGCCGAGGCTGAGGTAGGCTGCACGCACAGGGAAGCTGTGGACAAGGGTTTAAGTTAGAACATAGGAAGTTCCACCTCAACATGAGGAGAAATTTCTTTACTTTGAGGGTGACGGAGAACTGGCACAGGCTGCCCAGGGAGGTTGTGGAGTCTCCTTCTCTGGAGACTTTCAGAACCCGCCTGGATGCGTTCCTGTGTGGCTGCCCTAGGGGATCCTGCTCTGGCAGCGGCACTGGACTAGGTGATCTCTAGAGGTCCCTTCCAACCCCTGACATTCTGTCATTCTATGGTTCTGTGAAATGAGCGCAGAGTGGTTTTGTGTCCAAGCCAAAAGAGACATCCCTTTGCTCTTCACAAAATCAGAGGAGGGGACAAGGCTGGGGAGTTCAGGCAGCTGGGACACGAGAGGATGGAGCTGGGCAGCAGATTCCTCCTTCCCCATTTTCACCTCTGCAAGGCAGGGCGCAGTTAGGGAGAGAGTGAGGCTCTCTGTGGGAAAGCTCATTTGGCTTAAGCATGTCTATCGGGGTGTAAACAAAGGTTGGACCTATGCCTGGAGGCTGAGAGAATCAGAGAAGAGGGAAGAGAGAAACCACAAGGATCAATGTATGAGGCTTGCCCTGTTTGAAGAATACAGCTTAGGCTAAAATTTGGGGCATTTATAATTTAGTTTTAAAAAAGCGGAAGAGGGAAATCTATCCCGTTTATAAAGGCAGCGGAGGACTATACGTAGAGGGAGTCATCATCCTCAGACCCTCAAGAAAAAGGAGTGAACTTGGGTGTGAGTTGTCGGTAGCGGATCTTTATCAGCCGGAATGCCTCACTGCTGGTGTCTTTTTGCACACACTGCATTCTCCCCAGTCAGCTGAGGGCAGCACACACTGTAACTGTAAACTTTTGAACACTTCCAGGTGTTTGCCATACCCTTTCCCAGGGGCACAAAGCTTCATCGGAGATAGGAAACCTCACCTTGTCCCGCAGTTTCCTCTCCTTCCGCTCTTGTACCGTAGTCAGATAATTCACTGCTGCGTATTCCAGTACCGAGAGGAAGACAAATACAAAACTGACCCACAGGTAAATGTCCACTGCCTTGATGTAGGACACGCGAGGCATGGAGGCGTTCACCCCAGTGATGATCGTGGACATGGTCAGCACGGTGGTTATCCCTGGGAATACACCAGCAGAGAGACTGTGAGACACTTTCAAACCAGACTTCATTACAAATACAGCTGCCATTAGAATTTCCTGACATCTGAATTTATCTTGCAGGATTGCTACTTGGTGACTACCAAGCTAGTAAAGGATTTGGAGCACACGTTATACAAGGAACAGCTGATGAATCTGGGGCTGTTTAGCCTGGAGAAGACTGAGGGGGCACATTATTGCTCTCTACAAATGCCTGAAAGGAGATTGTAGCAAGGCAGGAGATGGTCTGTTCTCTCTAGTGGTGAGAGATAAGACAAGAGGAAATGGCCTCAAGTTGTGCCAGGGCAGGTTCAGGTTGGATATTAGGAAGAATTTCTTTACTGAAAGGGTTGTCAGGCATTGGAACAGGCTGCCCAGGGAGGTGGTTGCGTTGCCATCCCTGGAGGTGTTTAAGACACGGGTAGGTGTTGTGCTGAGAGACATGGTTTAGTGGGGTTGACAGGGCTAGGACAAAGGTTGGACTCCGTGATCTTGAAGGTCTCTTCCAAATGAAACTGCTCTATGATTCTATGATTTGTGCGACGGGTTTCTCTGCCTGAGGAGGGTCCAGGCAGCCCTGATTTCTAACTGGGGTTTTCCTGTCTCTTGTTGAAAACAGCTCTAATTTGGTCTCAGGGTGTTGCTAGACTGATTCCTCACCACACCACCACCCTCACACCCCGTGGCTGGGCTGCAGTGCTTTGACCCCAAGCTGGCTGCACCCCATCTCCAGGCTTTAGACAGTCCCTGGATGGATACAAGCACATTGAGTTGGACTCGATGATGCTTATGGGTCCCTTCCCACTGGAGATTTTCTGTGACTCTGTGATTCTAAATATCTCAGCTTCTAGTTCAACTCCTCTGCAGCATGGGCACAAGCAAAGCCCATCTGCTGCTGCTCCCACCAATTTCTCTAGGCCTGTGTTTCCCATTTGCTCCCGGGAATTCCTGCTTTGTGAGAAGTCACGGAAATCACAAGCCAACTCTCACACCTGGTCTGTGCCTTCCCTGGAGCAAGAGCAGAAACTAATGGGACCCCATTAGTGGGGCACTGCTGCCCCAGGTTACACCAATGGCAAGCACAACGAGCACATCAGCAAGGGCAGGAGCCCCTGCAGACAACACCCCAGGTGTTATCCTGACTCTGAGGGAGGCTCTCTGTGCCCTTCTTATTTCAGAGGCTTTTATGTCACATTAATGATCACTTTGAAAGCTGAAATTATGTGCATAAGCACAAAGGAATGAATTCACAGGAGTATCTAGGTGCTAAAAAGTATTGCTAAAGGCAGTGCCTTATCTTCCAGAAAGCCATGGCCCAAGCCCGTGCTCCTTTTAATGATATCTCAAGGCAGTGGAAGCTGCTTTTAAACACAGACACGGATAACTGCCCCATTGCCATCTCTGTTATGTCTCTGTATATCCTCTCCACCAAGGAATGTGATTCTGACAGTAAATGAAATCCTGAAGTGTGTTGCTGGGAATAAGTGGAAGCAAGCTTGTGCTCGAGGTCTGTAAATACACAAATAGCACTTTGCTATGGGCAAAGCATCTGCTTTAGAGGAAGATTTATGTTTGTATCATAGCTCTGCTCCCATGGTGACTCCTCTGACATATGTCTTCATCTGTCTGAAAGACATTGCAAATGGGGAAGCTGAATTCCTCACATTGTACTGTAAATTCATTTAACAAGTTGACCAGCATAAGTCAGCTGACTGTGTGACCTCCACTCTCCCTCCTCTAGCAAAACTCAATAAACTGAAATTTTGCCAGGGCTGCTAATGCAGACTTTCATCTTCTTGATCACCAAAGCCTCTGAAGGATGCTGATCCTTTAGTTCTATGTGTGCCCAGTTTCTGTTAACACCAATAAAAGTAGAGAGGAACATTTCATCTCTTGGTTTGTGCATGCTTTTGCAAGCAAGGAAAGCAATTCGCTTGGCACCACTGGGCAGGTGGAGAGTTTGTGCCAGTCTCCTGCATGGGAGACGCTTACAGCACAGCTGATTTCCGTGCCACAGGGCAATGCAGGGGCGGTGCATAGCACAGAGGATTTCATCTCGATGGTCAAGACTGCGATTGCAGCAATTGTCTCTTAAGTCTGCTGAGTACAAGATTGTTTTTACCTAATGGGACTCTTGCGGGAACTGCTCGGCGATCGATCCAGAAAGACACCCAGGACAACATGACCATGAGGGTAGCCGGGAAGTAGGTTTGAAGCAAGAAGAAGAAGATGTGTCGGCGTAAAGTAAAGTTTATATAGAGGCGATTGTACCAGCCTGTATAACAGAGAGATGGAAAAAGAGAAGTCACACCAACATCAAACTGCTTTGGGATACGGTGAGGTTGCATCAGGAGAAAAGCAGAGTTAATGACCACGGATCATTGCAGTTTGCACAAAAAACTCTTACTGAATCAACCATCAAAGTCATAGCGTCTCTAAGGACCATATCTTCCGGAGAAGATAATATAACCTGTGCACTGAGAGGGTTTAATTCAGGCTGGTGTGATCCTGAAGAGGGATTGTCTTTCCAGACTACATAACCATCAAGATGGAGTGGCAGGGACAGCAGCCTTGTCAAGGGCCACAGTGAGACCCTGCAGTGGACAATCCTCCATGGCCAAGGTCAAGGGGGACAGTTTGCACCCCTTCTATGCCCAGCCCACTCTCTGGGAGGCCCTGTGGTACCCACCTGTGCTGCTGTAAAAGGCGAGCTTCGTGGTGGTGTGAAACTCCTGGATCAGGAACTGAGACAGTGATATCCTTTCATCCGTTTTTAGGGAATCATTCCCATTCTTCCAGTAGAGCATGAGGTCATCTTCAGTGTAGGCATCTAGGGGAGCAGAGCAAACCTCGGTGCATGGAGTCAACTGCTGTCACACCCACAGCCCAGGGTGCACCCACACACTTTCCAGGCTACCTGTGAGGTCCCAAATGGGCCAAAAGGCCAAATATCACCACGTAGCTGAGAGCCATGCTGGTGGTGGGTATGGCTGTGGCAAGGAGTGGACAAGCTCATTGTCACAGCTCTCAGGCCTGATGCCTGGTACATTTTGTAAATGCTTCTGTTTCTCTAATCATAATTTTGCACACACACACTGTGTGTCAGGTAACCCACTGCATCAGAAGTTGAGAAACTTAAAACCTTATAAACATCTTAAAATCAGAAGCAAGGAAAGAAGACTTAGAAGGAACAATCTATCAGTGGTCTGAGGTATGCAGGAGTAAAATCTCCTGGGTAAGCTTTCTGCCTGCAATGTACACAGGAACATTACAGGTCTTGGTTTGTTTAATACATGTGGGAATATAGTAATGTTAATCTTTCGGATGGGTTTAGTAGTAGCTCTTCCCCGGACAGGAAGAAAAAAATGTTTTAGAATTAAGATTATAATTTTTTATGACAAGCTTAAAAATGAGAAGAAAAAAATCATAAAAAGCTAAAATTTTAAAATATTACTATATGAAATCTAGCCAATTCATATGTGCATCATACTTGGGATAAAGGATCTACATGTGGGTATAAGATGGGTTTATCTCAAATAGGTATAAGAAATATAAGAGAAAGGTGATTAATGTCACTTCCCCATCATAGTTTCTACACTACAGATGAGCAGATGGTGCGCATGAAGGGCTTAGGTGTTTGAGGACACTTGGGCAAGCAGGTGCTGCTGGAGACTGCTGACCTGCAGGCAAGTGGCCCAGGTCCTCTGGGGACAGGATGGCAGTGTGACAGCCTGGTTGACTTTTAGGGACATTGGCAAGAGAATCTGCTTTTTAAAAACACTGGATCATTGCAAGCACCATCTCATTCTAGTGAAAAAACATGGGCAGGAAGTTTTTCTTAGTGTGGAAGCCTGCCGGCTTTGGTTAGAGCTTCCATGAACAAAGCAGCAGTTTAATCATCAGTATAATTATTAGTATCATTAAATACAGTTTTGGTGCCCATGGGGTGCAGCCCTTGGCTCCCCTACACCTCTGCTTTACTTACAGCTTTCGATCTCCAGGGAACATGTCTGTGTGTCCAGGGGAAAGCGACTAAAATCCATGTTGCACATTGCTGTTACTGTAACTCTAGGAATAAAAAGAACCACACCTTTAAAATCTTTCTTGTGTGACTGAAAAGTAGTAAAGCTGTGAGTTTGTTTTTTCATTAAGTACCTACAGAGCCAGTAACAGTCCACTGAAAATAAATACCTTCCATTCATCTAAAGCCATTCCACTTTAGTTAAAGCCATTTCTTCTTCTCAGCAAACTAGTTTTAGAAGAGATGACTAGAAATTTAGGCCATTAGAAATTGCTACTAGATGACAGCAATATTGGAGAAGAAAATGGGAAAAGGGAGGAGAGGGCACTTCTTCCTCTTGGACTATTTGTGGAGCTCTGTGCTTTGTACAATAAAATAATTTCCATTTATCAAAGCCATCCTAATGCCACGAGGGATGGAGGTTCCTGCACACACCGTGAATTTCCAGCTGCTCAAGGAGAACCCGAGGATCAGCCACCAGAGGGCACAAGCAGTGCCTTGAGTTAGGGCTGGTGTGTGACAAAAACCACTGAAACGCACTGCCCCGTTGATCAAAAGCTCTAGTCTTGTCATGGTGTGGTTATAGAATCGTTTAGGTTTAACAGCATAATTCTGTATTTGCGCTGGAAGTACCCATGAATCTTAACTCAGCTGGCTTGAACTTACAGGGAAGTAAAGGAAAATATAAGTATAAATCACAATGGCAAAAGAATTAATGAATTATAGCAGGGCTAATGGTAGACAGACGTCTGTTACATAATGATAAAAACACTGCAGTCGCTTATGTGAGTAGTCCTTCTGCATGTGCGGGTCCCCACTGATGTTACTTTCCTATATGCATTTAGTCTCTGTGAAAGGGCTTGGCTCGGATGTGTTGTTAAGGTGACAGCAAGGTCTACAGCGGTTTCCAAGACAAGAGAAGGCAAATTCTGGTGAAGGACATTAAAAAGACGAAGACCAAGGAAAAATATCATCTACAAGCAAAGGCAGGCAAGCAGTAATGACCCCTTTCCTCTTAGGGGAACACCAACACTCTTACTTCCCCAGCATTCACAAAGCACCCCAACCTGCAGTTACCACTGAATAAAACAATGAGACTCTGTCCGTTTGCTCTTCAAGATGTTCACTGCCATTTTGTATGGGACAATTTTTTAAGCACAAGTCTGCATGTGACAGGATCTGAATGGTTTGATATGCTTCTGTTGCTATCTTCTTTAGACAACCATAAATGCTTGCAACACAAATGACTAGTATGCAGCTAAATGAAAAAGTATATAGGCCATGTGTGCTACAACTGAACATTATGTCACTTTACTGTCCTTTTTTTTACTGTACTAAGGACCTGAGCAAACTTTGCAAAGAAACACCTGAACCTTGTCTGAAATGAAAGAAAATGAAAAAAAAGCCTTAATAATGAGAAGGTAGACACTGCTCAGGCTGTGAATTCTAATGAACAGTACGTTAAAGATATAAGAGAACAAGAAAATTCTTGTCAAACTGATACACCACAGGGGACTGGCATCAAGAATTGCTTTGCTTACCTTCCTTTAATAGAATTGTAAAACATCTTGGCAGGCTGAAAAGCTGATCTCCTCACCTCTTGGCAGGCTCAGTTCTACTTTTGCCACTCCTAAGATCACTGTCTAACATGCCGTTAAAGACCACCACACTCTTCCCAAGAAATGTATTCTGCAATCTTATAATTAGTTAAATCTGTGCATCCTGATGATACTGACCTCCTGTCAGTCAGATTTTTCTGCTTTTGTGTCCTTCAGAATACGTCACCTATCATCTGATGCTTTTTTTGTCATGTATTTTGTTATTTCATTGCTGTAGAGGTGATGTCAAAATTCTTGCATCATAACACTGTGCAGCAATTTCCTCTCTAGTAAGTTTTTATGGGTCATTTGGCAATGCTTGTCTTCTAACTGGATGGAGCTGGAGCCAAGAAAAACAGAAGCACCAGTTTAGGTTTCTTCTGGAGACTGGGAGGTGCTGCTCACTTAATGTCTCCAAGTATCAAAATGTTACTTATTAAAAAGAAAAGAATCCTGGTTTAACAATGTTCAGGTCAGCAATGTCCCTCTCAAAGCTGATTGACCGGCTGGAAAACAAGGAAGAAAGCCAGGACTGAGATCACCCCTCAAATTAGACGACAAAATAAAGTTTACTCAAAAGGTCACCCTCAAAGAGCTTTTGCACATTTCACTCATTTTACTCATGAAATGTGAATAAAAAGCAGGGAGAGCAAAAGTCAAGTGTCTGAGTTGCTCTAGCTGTACACGAGTCACCAGGATCTCTGTACCCTTGCTCTGAAGCTTGTCACTTCATGTGCCGAAGGGTGTTCTTTTTTATTGCTTATCATAAAGCTAAATTTACACTTGCTATGATTTATATTTCTTGATTATTACCTGTAAAAATAGAAATTGTGCATTTTGCTAGGCCCAGAGACTTTGTTGTATAATGAAGCGGATAACTATAGCCGCCCTGGCCTTCTGTTTATTATCAGTCATTGTCCTTTTCCTTAAATTGTGCCTGGGCTGTTCAGCAGTGCCCCACAGGGCCTGCAGCCCACTGGTCCCCAGCGAGCTGCCTCGAGGGACTGCCATGACTGGCCACAGCTTCCTGACAGCAGGAGCAGGGACAAACCACACACGCCGGCCGAAGGGACACGGGTGGAACCAGCAACGTTGGCACAGGAGTTGCCTTCCTGCAGCAGGCACTTGATGGACTTGCACAGGGACTCAGATGCCAGTGGATGGCCAGCATATTCATTCTTTTTAATGTATTTTTTAGTATGAAGCCATGCACAAAGACGATACAGGAATCAATTAAACTGCTTTCTCTCTCACTCCACTAACAGCTCGCATTGATCAAATGCAGCTTTACCTGAGGCTATAAAGTACCTTCCCATCTGGCTGGACCCGCAGCATGACATTGTCTGTGGTGGTATCATGGATGAAGGAACGCTTGGAGTGGACGAAGAACATGTCGGGGACCCAGATCTTCTTCACCAGCCTGCCATCAAAGGTCATGCTTTGGTTGTTGGTGCTGGGGAAGGACAGCCTCTCATCTTTCCAGTAGTGCCTCAGATAAAGCGTCATGGTGAAATCCTGCAACAAACAGGCTTGTGTCACAAATTACCCCTTATTGGCATAGCAATGATTTCTCCTCTCTGGGACAAACAACAAGCTGTAAAGCACTATTCCTGAAAGCACATCCACTCCCTGAGCTGCAGGGGCCATGATCAGCTGCAGCTTATTTATTCCTCTGGTCAGACAGACTTATAGGGCTCAGAAATCAGAGGCCATCCAGGTGGCAAGTCCACCTTTGAAATACAAATGTTGCATTTTGGTGTCTGCAAGCTACTCACTGGGACCAAAAGGCAGACATGCCGAGGCAGCAGTAGGTGGAGAGTGCTGCCAACCACTTAAACCCTCAACCACAGGATGCTGTATTTCTGAAGCCAACAGCAAAGAAGCAGTTGCTGCTGCGGCTGCCCTCTGCACTGCTCTGGTAATTGCTCTCTCCCTGGCGGCTGGAAGAGTGGGCTGCTCTTCCTCCAGCATGGCCACTGAAACCTTCTTGACTCAGTATTTGACCAAAACGGTTTGGGTTATTTTGCTCTTTCTCCTCACATATCATACTCTACGATCTGAAGCATGCTCCTTCTCTTTGAGCTCTGCGGTGTTTGGAGTTCAGATGCCAGAGGCACATACACTTTGTATGCTTTTTTCCTTATTTCGAAGGAAGCACTCACATATCCGAAGATAAGCTCACATATAAGTGTTTATAAGCACGGTATCTTTGAGTGTAGCAAAATATATTGCTGATAAACCGAGAGAAGCGTCTAAGATGGACCCGTCTGCATTGGCGTCTGGATGGTTTTGGGACGGGTTTTTCTGAAATTAATTGGCATGTGATTTTTTTTCTTTCTACAACACTTTCCAGGCATTTTGAAATATGAGTGTTTCTGCAGGCATTTTTCAGTAGAAATGATTAGTTAGTGGCAGCCTGTGCTATTATACTAGAGGCCGATAAAATTCTTGGAAAAGCTTTGTATTACAGCCAGCTGAAGCTCCCAAAGTGGCTGACCATGAAATTTTATCTTGTTCATTTGATCCATTCTACATTGTTCTTTAACATCATTTCTCTGTATACAAATTTAAAGATGACCATTCTTGGGAAACCTTTTACATTTGCTCCTCTGGGTTAATGTGTCCATAATAAATTGACAGACGTTTGTTCTTCAGCGAGAAGTCAGTGCTTCACATTTTTGCACAAAATCACATTTATAGTCACTGTGGAAAAATCATATATTGTCAGCTTTCATTAAGAAAGATTTATTAATACTAGTTAGTATTAATCTGGGAACCACAATATTTTAGAAAGCATCATCTGAAAAATCCTCCAAGCAACGTCTATGTAATATCTCCTTCTTCTTTTGGTCCATTTCTCAGAGACACTATTAGCTCTCCCATTATGTTTGTAAATGAATTTCCAATCCTAAGTAATAATCTGTTTTTCTCCAGATAAAACGGCTGCCCTACACATCCTGCAAAAGTTCTGTTGACTTCAGAGTCAGTGGCCCATAAGTCTTTTTTTACTATTAAATAGTCTGAACTGTGACTCATAATGAAGTTTTACAACACCCTCTATTATTTTACCACTTTTTTTTAAGTAGTCAGAAAGTAGGAGGAAAAAAGGAAAAATTGATATATCTAACTCCTCGAGGTTAAATTTAGTGCAGAGTGAATGTCTCTGTCACCAATGCCACTTCATTTAAAAATAAAGCAATGATCTTGCAAAGCACTGTGGCCTTTTTCTATAAAGCTGCATAAGTTAAAAAGAATTGATTCTGACAGTATAGAGTCTTCTCTGTCATTATTTTAAAAACCGCCAAAATTGACCCCGAGTTGTTTTTTTTTTACCCAGGACCATACAGGTTTTGTTCCATGTTGCTGGATGTTGCAGCACGACATTACACAAGGAAAAGTGGCAGTATTCAAAAATCAGGAGAAATTGTTCAAAACCATAATGCCCACTTTAAAAGGTGAGGGGTTGTTTGTTTGTTTTGTGGTTTTTTTTTTTACCTTAAAATCCTCGATGTTAAGTTCTTTTCATTTGCTTTCAAGTTCCAAAGATTTTCAGAGGCTCTCTAGCCACCTTATAGAATCATACAGTGAATTGGAATGGAACTGAACAGAACAGAGTAGAATAGAATAGAATAGAATAGAATAGAATAGAATAGAATAGAATAGAATAGAATAGAATAGAATAGAATAGAATAGAATAGAATCGAATCAAATCATTTTGGTTGGAAGGGATCCACAATGATTGTCTAGTCCAACTGCCTGACCACTTCAGAGGTGGCTAAGTTAAACCATGTTATTAAGGGCATTGTCCAAACACCTCTGAAACACTGACAGGCTTGGGGCATTGGCCACCTCTCTAAGAAGCCTATTTCAGTGTTGACCACCCTCTAGGTAAAGAAATTCTTCCTAACGTCCAGTGTAAACATCTCCCAGTGCAGATTTGAACCATTCCCACATGTCCTATTGCTGGATAACAGGAAGGGACCTTCAAAGGTCTAGTCCAAGTCCTCTGCAGTGAGCAGGGACATCTTTAACTAAATCAGGTTGCTCAGAGACCCATGAAGCCTGACCTTGAATGTCTCCAGAGACGGGGCAGCCACCACCTCCCTGGGCAACCTGTGCCAGTGCCTCACCACTCCCATTGTAAAAAAACTTCTTCCTTATATTCAGTCTAAATCCACCCTGCTCTAGTTTAAAACTAGATCCTCATCCTGTCACTACATTCCCTTGCAAACAGTCCCTCCTCATCTTTCCTGTAGCCCCCTTAAGGCACTGGAAGGCCACTATAAAGCCTCCCTTCTCTTCTCCAGGCTGAACAACCCCAACTCTCTCAGCCTGTCCTCGCAGGAGAGGTGCTCCAGCCCTTTGATCATTCTTGTAGCCCTCCTCTGGAGCTGCTCCAACAGGTTCATGTCCTTCTTATGTTGAGACCTTCACAAGCTTTCTCCTCAACCAGAAGGTCTGGGACCATCCCAGGAGAGGCAAAAGTTCAGACACTCCATTGCTGGTGGTCAGGGTGCAAAGACCAGAGAGCAGACGAGACAGGGCTGACAACTGGAGGGGTGGGCAGAATGTGCACTCTGATGTGCCTCAGCATTGCAACCGTGCCGTACCTAGCAAGTGGCCAGTTGACTGCAGGTATGCCAGACTGCTCAAATGCTGAAATGGCTGCAGTGATTGGAGCCCAGCATATCACCTGGGTGGCTGTCAAACACCAGCTGTGCTGCCACACAGCCATGGTCCTGGCTTAGACATGGGAGGAGGCTGGGCACAGGCTCTTTAACCTTTGGCTGTTAATTAGGAGCACAAAGAAGTTGGGACTTTCCATGAAAGCTTCAGAGCTCTTTGATACACAAGCTGAAAGAGCAAAACATTTTGAAAAGTATCCTGCATTGAGATTTGATGGGATTTTTTCACTTCCAAAGAAGAGGCTGAGCTTCTGAGGGGCTCTGATGTTTGATAAGCTCTGGGTTTTGCAAGGGTGAATAAAATTGGTGTAGGTCTTGCAATGTACGTGCAGGGCCACCTCCCGTTCCCATTCTGTGTTCCTGCTCTCCTGCACAGGCTGTTGTTTACTTGTCACATACGCGTGTAAAATCTTCCTATGGAAAATGTCCTGCAGAAATCATACCTTACTTACAGCAGCATTTTGTGATGAAAAAAGCCCCTCCAGCAAAAATCATTAAGACCAAAATCTGAACTACTTCGAGAGCATTTGAAAACTGACAATTTTCACATTACTAATCGTATGGAAAGAAGGAAATGAAGGACAGAGTCTCAGTAAGGAATTTAGACTGCACAGAGCACCAGCACTAGTCCGGTGTGCCCCTGAAATCAGTGTGAAGATAGAAGAAGGACCAACAGATCATTATGCTGATACTCAGCACACACCAGGGATGATACAACTGCTAACACGCCAAAGGCAAGTTCTAGAGAAACTTGACTCCTCCAAGCACGTCCTGCCTGCATCTGTTCGGAAGCAGAACATACCAGCCTGAGCCAGTGCTGCTCTCACGATGGCTACATGACTTCTGACTGGGGGCTAGCTTGCCCTTGGCCACCTCAGAATGGGGCCAAAGCGAGGCTGTGTCTGTATTATATCAAAGTGCCTTACAATTAACAGGTTAGTTGGTCCCTCAGAGCTTTTAATGGTGTTATTACTTCTTCAGAAAATGTAAAACCCCAAATCCTTTGGCCTAACTCTTGGCACTGTTGTATCATTTTGATCTAGAGAAAAGAAATTGTCAGATTTCTTTCTTCTGCTTCAAGGGAGATGAAATGGTAGCGTGAGATCAAGAGAAGTAATTTTCAGCGGATTCAGATCAAAGCTGAATCTGCATCCCAGAGGTTGCGGAGTGTTCACCCCTGGGGTATTCAAACCTCATAGACACAAACCCAGACAGCCTGCTCTAGCCAGTCCTGCTCTCAGCAGGAGTTTGGGCTAGATGGTCTCCAAAGGTTCTATCTGACCCTTGTCGTTCTGTGACTCTTACCATGTCCACCTCAGAAATGCTGTCCAGACTTTCAACTTGGACATCCACTCCAACAGGAATTGCAGGGCCTGGGGGAAAAAAAAAATAAATTAAAAGTTGGCAAAGTATAAACCTGGTGAGACAAAGTAATCCTCTGGCTTTTGCATTTTAGAGATAAAAATAGATGCTCAATCTCAAATGGAAATGACAGTAAACCAACTGGAAGTAGAAGCAATTGGAATTCATAAGCGAAACCTCCTAGTAACAATCAAAATCAGCACTGAGGCTGACCTCTATATTACGTCATCCTACATGCATCCCTTCAAAACTTAAAAGCGGTTTTCATTGCTTTTAGCAATTGTAATTGCTTTTAGCTCTGGCACTCCTGTCTAGGGGTTGCAAGACCCTTAAAAGCGGTTTTCATTGCTTTTAGCAATTTTAATTGCTTTTAGCTCTGGCACTCCGGTCTAGGGGTTGCAAGACGTGTGCCTCGCAGAGCATCTGTTCACATGGAGAGCTGTGACAGCATAGCTAAGGGAATGCAGAAGAGTTACTCTGAATTTTTCCATGAATTCTGCTTCACTTTCAGGCTAATAACATCTTTAGCAGCTACTCTGCACGTTTGGCTTTCACATCACTCAGTGCTCAGCTGAGTAAAAGACAGGGTGACGGGAGAGGATGTATGGCAGGACAGAGGCATGTGCCACTGAGCCTGGGGCTCCCGAGGGGAAGAATCAGACTATGACCCCATGTAATATGGATTTCGATCTTTTTTCCTTCCTCCAGGCTTTGACTAGCCACTCGTATACTGCTGGCAATTAAAGTACAGGAGATCTGTCAAGACAAATAATGCTCACATTAGTGGAATGCTATGAAACTGAAACCTTTTTAAATTAATTGAACATGCTGGTATTTGGTATATTGAGCATTTAGCAATAAAATCTTCTTCCATCAGAGTATATAATGGTATCCTGGATTTGAATGACCATCTGTCAGCCAGAAAGGGTAGATAAATTACAATATTCTCTAATCCGATGGGCTGAAAGAAAACGTGTTCTCCTTCATCCATTCCCCTGAAAGCTTAGGTTGCTTTAGTGCACAGGCACAAAACTGTGAGCAAGCACTAAGACATGACAGCCAGAATATTTTCTTTTGGGTTATAAATTAAATGTCCAGGTCAGTAAGCATGATACGTGACTTGATCATGCACACATATAGACATAGTAAGACGAAATCTTAGAGTTTTCCCATTATCCGGGAATAAAGGTGGATTTTCAGATTGGGTGTTTTTTTGGAAAAAAAAGTCACTGAATACCAGGAATATTGTATTGCCTGTAATCACATTTCCATGTCTTTGACCATGCTATTTTCTCGTCGAAGGAAGGAGGCTATTTTGCTGCACTCCTATTTCCTCAAGCATGTTATGGATTCACAACACAAAATAACAAAAATTAGATATAGAATAGTCTCTGCTTGTCAGTCTTCTTGTTCACCTGTGTATGTGTTACAATAAAAAGAACTGATGGTTTAAAATAGGACAATTGACAAATGCGCATGTTTCATACCTCCAAAACCCGGTCTCATGCTGAAGTCATGATCATCTATTCGCAGCAGCTGCTCTGACTTTGTCAGGGGAGATTTGGTGATGTCAGGGCTTCGTTTTAGGATTGGGCTACCAAGAAGAGAGAAGCAGAGCTATGAACCCTGAGCAGCACCTCTGAGAAATACACACCCACTTCACTCCATTACCCCTTAGACCTTTAGACCTTAACCATGCGATTGTTTGTAGTAGTTGGCAGAGTGTCATTAAAAAAAGATGATTCCTGCCTTCAACATACAGCTTAGGCACCTGTGATAATTCTGGCACTGAGAAAACATTTGTTTGGTGACTTTTTGTCTCTGTAAAATTATCTCTGCTTGTAGCACAGTTTGGAGACAATAATATGAAAGCGTGGGCCGGAGGGCATTGTGCATAACTGGGGAAATGAAAACAGAGGGGAGGCATTTCTGCTATTAAGTTATGATGGCGAGTTAGGCCAGGAATTAGGGAAATAATATATCAAATAAGCTACTGGCTGTTGCCCAAGAACAAAATGGAGACAGGCTGGGAACCAGGCCAGGAGTCAGGCTATCCCCTAACTTGGGATAAAATGATTAGCTCCCGTCCCAGATTTCTAACAAGGATAAAAAGGAGCATTAAAGACCTGAGAGGTCTCTGAGCATTAAGGAGCCTGGGAGGGTCATTCCAGAAGCTGTTGGAGTTGCACCAAATGTCAGACAGAGGATGCTCTGCTCCTCCTCCACATCCAAGGTGCAAAATGCTAGTGGGCATCCCAGTGCTTTGGCTGGGATGGTGGTAGCAGTATCTCGGCTGCTCCATCACGTAGGTAGAGCCTTGCTGCCCTCGGAGCCAGCTGCATGCCAGCCACTCGGGTGATACAGGGGCTCAAAAACAGGAGGAAAGATGTTGCTGGTTATCTATTTGAGAAAAGATGAGATGGTTTGCTCAGAGAGGCGCTTGTCTGGATATACACAAGACAAGTCAGATACAGATTCAAAGAAAATAGGATGGGGAGTATACTCCTGAGATAAAGCTCCTCCTAAATGAGACTGCTTAACCGTGCTGTACCTCTCACAGAATTGTGGGCAAGTGTACCATGAAGCTAATACTACAACCTCCTAACAGAGACCAGAGATGTTAACAGCAACTCCTCTCTCAAACTCAGAGCTTTATCTGGACCACAGCATATCTTAGAAATATGCTCAGCCTCAGTTTAATAATCTCTACGACTGGTGAGTTGTCTACCGCCATCAGTAAATTCTTCTAGTCAAGAATTATCCCTCAGGCATTTTAAAAGGTGGCCCCTGCTTCTGCTTTAGGTTTAATTCAGCCTGTGACACATCCGTGGCTTTGTAATTGTGCATTGGGGAAGGTTTGCACCTGGCTGAGGTCGGGGAGCGATATTTGCAGGTCACTGGCAAAACCTTCAACATCTGTGAGGAGGCCTGACCATGCTCAAAATAGTATTTTCTCCCTGGCAGCAGCAGAGGGAATGACGACCGGTGTGATGGAGAGCCCGTGGAGCAGGGCTTGGCTCTGCGGGAGGGCTACTCGGAGGGAAGGAGCCCGCTCACACAGCACGGGCAACACAAACCACATGGCAGCAGAAAGCAAAGCCCGAGGGGCTGCTTTAGACAGCCACGGCGTCACACCTCACCTCCGTGAGGGTATCAGGCAATGTGGCTTCCCCTGGGGCTTGTGGACGCTGCCAATGGCATGACTGCTGTCTAAACAGGACTGTCATGCTCAAACGGTGTCCCTTTCCCCTGCCACTGCCTCAGCCTGGCCATGGGTTACGGTCAGGCCAGCAGCAGCCCCAGACAGAGAGTTTCTCTTACCTGCCTTGCTTGTGCGCCTCGCTGTGGGCTTCCCGCCTCTGCCGCTGCGGCCGGCTGAACAGAAACAACAAGAAAAGGGGGAGCTGAGACCAGTGATCACGGGTGAGGACATCAGGAGGGAAGGGTGGTGGGAAGCACCAGATGCCTGCAGCGTTACCTTCTGTCATAGGTGTGAAATGTCTCTTACCTTTTTTTTTAACATTTTTCCTGAAGGCTGGGCATAGCGGAAGGTGCAGAGGATGGGGGTGCCGGGGCCTTGCGGCCAGGACAGCGCAAAAGAAGTGGAGTGATGATTTTTGTGAGGTGTGAAGCCACTGGGTTTGACTGCCTGGCAAAGGTATTGGGGCTGGTACTGGGTCCAGCCCTATTAAATTTATTCATCAATGACCTGGACAAAGGGACAGAGTATATCCTCGACAAGCTTGTCAATGATATAAAACTCGGAGGAGTGGCTGACATGCCAGAGGGCTGTTCTGCCATACAGCGTGACCTGGAGAGGCTGGAGAGCTGGATGGGGAGAAACCTAATGAAATTCAATAAAGGCAAGTGCCAAGGACTACATCTGAGGAAGAACAACCTCACGTATCCATACAGATTGGGGCCAGACATGTTGGGGAGCAGCTCTGGGGAGAAGGACTTGGGAGTCCTGGTGGACAACAGGCTGACCATGAGCTGCCAATTTGCCCTCATGACTGAGAAGGCCAATGGCATCCTGAGATGCGTAAAGAATAGTGTAGCCAGCAGGTGGAGGGAGGTCATCCTCTCCCTCTACCTCTGCATTACTGCGTCCAGTTCTGGGCTCCTCAGTTCAAGAAGGACGAGGAGCTATTGAAGAGAGTCCAGCACAGAGGCACTATGATGATGAGGGGACTGGAGCACCTCCCATATGAGGAAAACTGAGAGCTGGATCTGTTTAGCCTGGTGAAGAGGAGGCTGAGAGGGGATCTCATTAATGCTGATAAATATCTAGAGTGCAGATGTCAGGAGGGTGCGGCCAGGCTCTTCTCTGTGGTACCCAGTGACAGGACAAGGGGCAATGGTCACAAACCGGAAAACAGGAGGTTCAACCTAAACATAAGGAAATACTTCTTTACTGAGCGGGTCCAGAGGAAAGCAACGAGGCTGGAGAAGGGACTGGAGGAAAAGTCCTGTGAGGAGAGGCTGAGGGAGCTGGGGGTGTTTAGCCTGGAGAAGAGGAGACTCAGGGGGTACTTCATCACTCTCTACAACTGCCTGAAGGGAGGGTGTAGTCAGGTGGGGGTTGGGCTCTTCTCCCAGGCAACCAGTGACAGGACGAGAGGGCACGGCCTGAAACTGTGTCAGGGCAGGTTTAGGTTGGATCTCAGGAAACCCTTGCTCACGGAGAGGGT